ACTCCACTCTACGGATGCTCCAGGATTCCAAATACGTTAGCTATCACACGTCTAAGAAAACATAAGCAAACAGAGGGTGATAGTAAGTTCTCTCTTGAGTTTCATGTGGTCATTGCTATTAATCTGGACCAAGAACAAGTGTGAAGTAATATCTACTCCATCAGTGAGAATTTATCTACAAAGCCTGATTCTTGCTCCTCCCCTGATTCCCTTCCACTCCATTTGTCTCCATGATCCAACCCATAATCTACTGTGTGTACACTGACTCATGGTGGAGAGTCAAGGCTGCAACCTCACTTTTGCTAACCAGAACTGGTATTTGAAGCCCCAAATCCAAGGCATCTGGAAAGTGACAGTGAAGGTCACAGTTATAATGGGAAACAGGAAAAAGGAGGAGGAGGAGGGAAGACACTGGACATTAAAGCTTCCAAAATGTTATGGCTGCCCCACCAGTTGGGACTGTGTCTCTTTAGATCAATGAGTTGGTGCTTTTTGGATGATGGGCACATGTGGATGTGTTGTCCACTGAACCATGGATTGCTCTATCAGTAAGAGCTATCATTTACCTTACACTGACACTTTACCACAAGGCAAACTTAGATTTTCCAAAAGAAAGTGTCCTTAAACATTTGTCCAATTTTAAATTACAGGCCAAATTGGACAGGCTAACTGAATTCATGTCCTCTTATTACTGTGATTCTGAGGTTGTATTTCAAGGCTCTGCCCTTCCCATGCCCAAGGATAGATGTGGGCATAGCTTTTATTCCTGCGGTGCACTGTAGCAGGGCTCCCTCAAAGGGCACCAGACAGGGCTGGCAAATCCATGCTGTCTTATAATTTGTAGCATCAGATGTTGGAAGCATTGCTTACAAGCCTACTGAATTTTTTTTTTAATTGAAGTAGAGTTGACACACAATGTTGCATTAGTTTCTGGTGTACAACATAGTGATCTGACAACTCCATAGGTGATGCTCACCCGAAGTGTAGCTACGATGGGTCACCATACAGCACTATTATACCATTGACTATATTCCCTAAGCTGCCCCTTTTATTCCGTAACTGGAAGCCTGTGCCTCCCATTCCCCTTTACCCATTTTGCTCTTTTGCCCCCCAACTAGTCCACTGAATTTGGATATTTTCAGATGTATTATTAAATCACTTATATAAAAGAATATCTTTTCTTTATTAATGGCTGAACCATTTGATATTGGCAATGGCTGACATAGTAAAAGAGCAAAGTCAAGAATAAAGTTGTTCACAAAGATGAGGTAGAGGTCACTTGAAACTTGGTTAAGCAATCATCCCTGGGAAAGCTGCCTTCTGGGGTATGGCTCAAGATGCTGCCCCAGGCCTTTACCGCTGCAGTGGTTCTCAAACTGTACTATCTGAATCTCCTGGAGGGCTGGTCAAAACATGGATAGCTGGGAACCCCATCCCCCACCTCCCCTATTCTGATTCTGGAGAATTTTGGAAAGTAGCTCTGGGTTGGACCCTGAGAATTAGCATTTTTAACAAGATCCCAGGTGATGCTGCTGCTGGTCTGGGACTGAAATCTGGGCATGCCTCGATATGACAGAGTTTATTTTGCCATACACAAGTGTGGAATTTTATTAACAAACCAATAACATTCTTTTGAGTTGTTCATGTTTCATTTTGAGTTTGAAGGCAGGAAAAATACCAATGTCCCAGCTCAAAGCAGTCAGGCAGGAGGCGTTCCCTCTTCCTCACAGGAGGGTCAACCTTTTTTGTTCTATACAGACCTTCAACTGATTGGATGAGACCCACCCATATTCAGAAGGGAAGTCTGCTTTTCTCAGTCTACCAATTTGAATGCTACTCTCTTCCAGAAACACCTTCACGGATGCACCCAGAATAATGTTTGACCAAACATCTGGGTACCCTAGTACCAACTAGTCAAGTTGACACATAAAAGTTGCCATTACATGGGGCTTTCTTAAAAGTCTGCCTAGAGAATTATGGCACAAGGTGCATGTTTTGTTTGGTAAAGAGTAGATGAACTTCTATATTTGAGCTTACTACTCTAGTTCAATGATCTGTGTAGCAAAAGATTATCTTGTCAATTATCATTTAATATTTGCATTCTGCCTTTCTAATCCCTAACTAGCTTTAGTTGTAAGACAAGATTAAATAGCAGTGAAAAGAAAAAAAAAACAAAAACAAACCTAACTGGACTGGAGAAACAATATCATGGTACCATGACTTAGATGTCTTCTGTTTTGCCTAGGAATGCCTTTCACACATTTTTACTCCTTGGATCATTAGTATCAACTGTTAAAATGTACAGAGTGATTCTTCGTATTTCTCAACATGGATATTTGACGTTCTGTCTTTGGTGTGTATTCTTATATTAAGTTCACAATGGACAGCTTTTGTCATTAAGGACTAAATGAAAAAAAAACCCAATTTTTAAAAGTTATTTTTCCCACACTAAAAAATTTCCTTGATTGAAGTTTTGCTAAGAATCAAGTAGATAATATCAAATACACACACAGTTTTCTAAATATTTATTTCGAGAGGAGAGAGAGCACACGCACATGCATGTATGTGCGTGTGCAAATGGGGGAGGAGCAGAGAAAGAGGGAGACAAGAAATCCCAAGCAGGCTCCATGCTCAACACAGAGTCCTACATGGGGCTCAGTCTCACAAACCGTTAGATCATGACCTGAGCCAAAATCAAGAGTTGGGCATTTAAACAACTGAGCCACCCCGGCGCCCCTACATACATTTTTAAAATAGTCTATTTTGCTCTGTTGTTAGGCCTAGAGGCAGCAAATAGGTCTCTGATTTTAGCATTTTTTTAAAAGGCAAAGGCGTAATTTTTCATCATGGGAACTACCCACTTAAACATGATTTCAAGGCCTCAATAGGGTTACTGAGTTGTCAGCCCTTTTCACTCCAACTGAATTAAATAAAATTGACAAAATGAAATACTCATTGTGAAAATTATAACAAAAGAAAATACTAACTGGCTCAACAAAATAATTACCAATATAATTACTGCTTTGTATAAAGTGACATTTGCCATGTGGATGATTAGAAAATATTGTGACTGAGTGTGGAGATTTTCTGAACAATGTCCGTTATTGATTTTTTGATGATACCCATCACTCTGTACAGAAGAATGCCCTCTCTCCAAAATAAACTGCAAGCTATTTAGCAAACAAAACAGCCTAATATTAACCTGAATTATCATTACTCAGCAGTCAAGTATGGGCAGATAAAAAAATGAAATTGCAAAACGTCAATGTAATTTTGCTGATACCAAATCATGGTATTCTAAATTTGCTTAATGTGTTCAAATATATGATGAAACAAATGAATTATGTCATGTTTCACTGAATATATCACACTTAAACAGTAAAATGGCTCATGTAGTATGTGTTTCTGTTCTATCAAAAGAATGTTATTAGTGTGTTAACCAACTTCTCTACTTACGTATGGCAAAATGAATTCTCATGTCAAGAGATGCCCATATTCAACCCTGCCTCAGAGACAATCTTTGCTTCTCATGGCAGTGCACAGGATCTCATAATGTGCCCTGGGTTGTGGGCCATTCCTAATATTTCTCATTAGTTTCTTTTCCATGAAAAAATAAAATAAAATAAAGCTCATCAGAAAGCACTGAGAGTAAAGGTATTGTAGGAATAATCTAACCTTGAATCATCTGGTTTTCTATAAAATGAATAGCATACGGTGAGCCTTGGTATTTTAATGATTAGTTAAAATACACTTAGAGCATAGGTCACGAATAATAGTGACCTCGAAGTTCAAAATTGCTGTTGTAAAGAATGCCACCACTGTCTCCTACCCACACAAATGAAAACTGACAAACATCAATTTGATGAAATAGATTTACATACCAGGGAGCCTAGAGAAGCAGGAAAAGAGGGCAAGAAGATGTAGACAACAGAAGAGGTATTATATAATGTATAAAGTACTGAAAACTTAAAAGATGTTTAACACAAAAGCACTGCTCTTAGATGATGACACTAACGATAAAAGGGACTATAGTTAATCAGGATCATGTTCCCCCAAGTGGCAAATTCAGAACCACCGCCTTAAATTCTTACAACTAATTTTAATACACAGTAAGCTTCTACTGTGAAGAATTTTTGTACGTTGCTTTGCTTAGATGGTAGTTCCAAGCACAGCTTTTTAAAAAACGCATGGCACATTGCACCATTAGTGAGTTTGGTCAGCAAACCATGGTTTAAGGAAATTCAGTGTATTCCAATGAACATTGTTTGAGCTCTGTGCTAGGCATTTATACTCTAGAGATGAGGAATTTATGATCCTTGCTCTTAAAGAGCGAAGTGCAGGGGGAAGAGCATGACATCTGCTGCTATCTTTATTTCTAAGTCATCTGGAAATAATGTTGTAGGAGACCTAGGGAGGGAGAGTGTGGCTCAGGCAATAAGGGGCCACAGTTTGTCACCCCATCTTACCATCCCATGCATTGGGCTGTCTGGGAGGTAGAGGCGGAGATGGCAGGTGGGGGTGGGGGGAGGTGGGTTAGGCCTGGTGGAAGGAAGGTGGGGTGAAATACAGTTTACTAATTTTGGAAGTTTGTGTGCACCTTCTTAGCAGGGTGTTTATCTAATCTCAGCAAAATTGAAGTACCGTGAAAATAAGGACTATTTGGTGGTGATGGTACATTTAAGACTCAAGGCCTATGGGGCGCCTGGGTGGCGCAGTCGGTTAAGCGTCCGACTTCAGCCAGGTCACGATCTCACGGTCCGTGAGTTCGAGCCCCGCGTCGGGCTCTGGGCTGATGGCTCAGAGCCTGGAGCCTGTTTCCGATTCTGTGTCTCCCTCTCTCTCTGCCCCTCCCCCATTCATGCTCTGTCTCTCTCTGTCCCAAAAATAAATAAACGTTGAAAAATTAAAAAAAAAAAAAAAAAAAAGACTCAAGGCCTAAATGAAATAAGTAACATATTTAAAAAGAGAACCTTATAAAGCGTCACTTTCTCTTTATATTTTTAAGGACAAAAGAGAAGAGCAAAATGGAAAACGTGCTATTTTGTTGGATATTTTTCACCCTCGGGTGGACCCTCACTGATGGATCTGAAATGGAACAGGATTTTATGTGGCACTTGAGAAAAATACCCCGGGTCGTCAGTGAAAGGACTTTCCGTCTCACCAGCCCCACCTTCAAGGCAGATACTAAGATGGTGCTAGATAGAGTGTGTGGCATTGAATGCCAGAAAGAACTCCCAGCTCCCAGCCTTTCTGATCTGGAAGACTTTCTTTCCTACGAGACTGTCTTTGAGAATGGCACCAGAACCCTGACTAGAGTGAAAGTCCAAGATGTGGTCCTTGAGCCAACTCAGAATATCACCACAAAAGGAGCACTGGTGAGGAGGAGAAGGCAGGTTTATGGCACAGACAGCAGGTTCAGCATCTTGGACAAAAGGTTCTTAACCAATTTCCCTTTCAATACAGCTGTGAAGCTCTCCACAGGCTGCAGTGGCATCCTCATTTCCCCCAGCCACGTTCTAACAGCGGCCCACTGTGTGCATGATGGAAAGGACTACATCAAAGGGAGTAAAAAGCTAAGGGTAGGGTTGTTGAAGATGAGAAATAAGGGTGGTGGCAAGAAACGTAGGGGTTCTAAGAGGAGCAGGAGAGAGGCGAATGGTGGTGACAAGAGAGAAGGTACCAAGGTGAATCTGGAGAGAGACAAGGCTGGAAGAAGAAGAAGAAAGGAATCTGGTCGGGGCCAGAGAGTTGCTGAGGGGAAGCCCTCCTTCCAATGGACCCGCGTCAAGAATACCCACATCCCCAAAGGCTGGGCTAGAGGAGGGAGAGGGGAAGCCGCTTTGGACTATGACTATGCTCTTCTGGAATTGAAGCGCCCTCATAAAAAGAAATATATGGAACTAGGAATCAGTCCAACCATCAAGAAGCTGCCTGGAGGAATGATCCACTTCTCAGGATTTGATCGTGACAGGGCAGATCAATTAGTCTACCGGTTTTGTAGTGTGTCTGATGAATCCAATGATCTCCTCTATCAATACTGTGATGCTGAGTCGGGATCCACTGGTTCTGGGGTCTATCTTCGTCTGAAAGAACCAGACAAAAAGAACTGGAAACGCAAAATCATTGCGGTCTATTCAGGCCACCAGTGGGTGGATGTCCACGGCGTTCAGAAGGACTACAATGTGGCGGTGCGCATCACTCCCCTCAAGTATGCCCAGATTTGCCTCTGGATTCATGGAGATAATGCCAACTGTACTTATGGCTGATGGAAATCTGAAACCAGTCAATGGATTACCTAAATCGCGGAGCAAACCAGTTATTATGGTAGCAAGATCACTTCATAGGTTATGCCCGGACTTGAACCCTATCAATAACAATTCAACATTTTTATAAATTTACCTTTTCAAAATTAGAAGCTTTTCATATGTTTAAAAAACACTTAGGTACAAATACTGAAACTAGACGGGCACCTCAATGTCAAGTATATATTCTTCTTTTACATAGTGATAAGTATCATTTGTGGGAAGTCTTTTGTTTCTCTCTGCCTTCCTAAAATTAGTCACTCTTTAAAAGTTCAAACTGGTATTATACATAGTATGATTTTTCAGTGGACTTATTCTCAGGGTCCTACTCTAACAAGAATCTAATAGGGTGCTGGTTGCATATTAAATGTGAAACTGCATATACAGACATAGACAGTGTCAGGGTAGAGATGATAACTTACAATAGTTTGTACTACTTGGAGATGGACCCATTCAGTTCCTGCCCTCTGTGTTTATATTATGCTTTCTGTTGGGTCTGAGAAACTTTGGTTTAGATTTTTTTTTTTTTTAAGAATTACAAGGTACAGCAAACTTTATAAGCAAAGCTAACAACTGTTTCACTGCTTTAAAACATATCAGTTGAAGTGTTCATTATTTAAAAATGAGAGACATACTGTTCTATGAAATAAATCTAGTTGAAAAAATAGGGAAGCTGAGACATTTTAAGATCTCAAGTTTTTATTTAATACTCAAAGCATAGACTTTTCATGAATGCAGAGGGAAGACAGCTAAAAAGTTACAAATGATCATGTATTGAAAGTCTCATCATTTTATCCTATAGTTTTCTGTGTATGAGGTGTTATAGTTTTAGGACAAGGAATTTTATTTAGTCTTTTTCAATAGAGAATCTTTTTCCCATTGACATGACAGATCTCAGCTTTCCTAATAGAGCCATACACATATTATTTTGGCTATTTCTCTGCCTAATAATTTTAGATATATCCCTAAAAATGAATATAATTTACAAATACAATTTTTAAAAGGAGGTTCTGATTATTTTCATTAGGGACCAAGGCTGTATACTCCTTCGGGCCACCATGGCCGCCTGAGCAGACAGAATCCAATGACTGCCTTCAGGCACAACACACAGTAGTTACATATTTCTTGAATGAGCAGATATTTTGCTGAATCGTTGTAAAAGGGGGTTAGTTCAGGCCATTATGTTGAAAGGGTTGTAGTGATTTGCTGTTGAGCACACCATAAAATTCAGGAATGGCAGGCCTAATTTCTGGTCTGCTATTTTTGGCAGTTTCTACGGCACACATTCCTTTTTCTCATGACTCACCTAAGTCATTGATTCTGCTGGAGTCAAAATTTATTTTACCTATTATTTTTTTAAGAGAATGGGGAGTTATACCCTTGATTAGTATGCAAAAGAATATTGGATTAGGTTATGATAAAAGGTGATTTTATGAATGTTGTCCAAAATACCTGGAATTTAATACAAGTATACATACTTTTATGGTGTGAATCTGTTTAAAAATCATTCAATAAAAATTTAAAAAATTAATCAATCATAACTCTTATTGTATCTGTATATATGTATATACAGGGTTTCAGGAAATATTAAATTGTGTCATTTATTTAAAAAAAGATTTTATTTAATTCTGAATGCATTTCACCAAGCAGGATTTTATCCTTGGTGCCAGGGGAATAGGGCTATTGACTCAAAAGTTTTGATGCAATCTTTTTTGGGGAAACATCTATATGATCACTGCAACGGAAAGTGTTTCAACGTGATTTTTGCACACTTATGTGTTTGCAAACACACAATCTTCATCTTTGATTCTTAGGAAATACTTCTTGGGATTTGATTCAGTTCAGAGTAATTTAGGGTGCTTGGTATCAATCGTTTAGAGCTTAAGCTTAAATTCTGAATACATATAATTTCCCTAAGATCATTATACTTTTCAAAACTGTAAAATTTAGCTTATTTTATTTGCAGAGATTTATTTTGTTCTCTCCTCTTCTGTTTTCCAAGTGAATCATGAGTCTTATATGACCTATTTAGGACCACTAAAGTATACTACATTACTCAGAAGGTTGTAATGCACATACTTTCCCTGTCATGCTTATCAGACTTGAAATAGAAAATTAAATCGAATTCACTTGGCTGAAGAAATACATTCATGCACACATATGATGTCTGCTGTGTGCAAAGGACTATAGTGACCTTCTGCTTGAAGAAACTCATCAACGATTGAGCTCAAATAACTACAGTATTTACAAAACAAATGAAATTGAAAATCGTGAGGTTTTTTTCTTTACCCAAATAATGTATTTCATTTTATTTGTTTTTTTCTTGCTCAAATGGATGAGTGTGTGGGCAGAAGAGACATTTCTTTTTTCCTTTTTTGATGTGCTTATTTAAATTCCAAATGTGTTTTTTAATTTTAATTGTTTATTAATTTTGAGAGAGAGAGAGAGAGAGAGACAGCAAGTGGGGAGGGGCAGAGAGAGAGGAGAGAGAGAATCCTAAGCAGTCTCTGCACTTTGAGCATGGAGCCGGACATGGGCTTGAACTACGAACCTCAAGATCATGACCTGAGCCGAAACCAAGAATCGGACACTTAAACTGACTGAACCACCCAAGTGCTCCCCAAATGTTTTCTTTGAAAAAAGATTTAAATGTATGTACGAACAAGACCAGAGTTCCAGACAAATCATTACCTTTTATATTTTTAGATCAAAGAATTCTTTGAAATTCTTTTTTCATAGAAAGAATCTCAGAATTAGAAGAGACCATAAAGATCATTTAGTTTAACTCCAAAATTTAGATTTTAATTTCCATCCACAGCACTCCATTCAAGTAGTTGTCCAGTAATAAAAACTTTTTACCACCTAAATGTTGATTAGTTATTAAAATTAATTCAGGAATTTAACTTTTAAAAATTATTAGTTCAGTTTGCTACATTGTACAAAAATTATATGGCTTATCTTGCATTTTATCCCCATCTTCACATTTCAATTACTCAATTCTTTGGCCTTATGCTGACAAATTGGGTGTTTACTCATCAAAAGTAAACTGTGAGCCTTAATTAAGTATATTGGGGTAAGGCAACTGAACCAAGCACAAGGATTACAAGGATGAGGATCTATAGCTATAAATAGCCTGGAAATAGCATCATTATTCTTTAATGTGATGTCCCTCTCATGATTATATTTTGGCTACTGATTTTAAAGATTACCTGCTAAGGCTTAGAAACTAGTTTTATGTTAGTAAACATTTCCAATTAATTAATGGAAGAATATTTTATATATAT